CACTAACAGCGGGAATGAGGAGCCTTCCCTGCGCCAGCTGAAAAGACAAAACATCAGAGACGTGGCAGGAAAGGCTTCAGCTACCCAAGGGGTAGCTGGTAGGCTTCTACTTTCTTCACTGAAGCCTGAGTCACTGCACCGTTACCCCAAATAGACAAAAGCTAAAGGAAGCGTCCCACAGGGCTGCCACCATGTTCTAACAGCAGAGCAGACAGCTTGGATCTTTCTCCTCTGTTCAGTCAAGTAAAGTACATTACAGTTTTCCACCAGAGAAATAAAGAGGACTGGACAGAAATGAGAACATAACCAGCCTCTGCTTCAGGCGCAGGAGTCTCTTTATTGGGAAAACAGCTTCATTTATGGGGAATTTGAATCTAAAATATTCTGGTTGCATTAGTTCTGATTTATGGCTAAACCAGCTGCACTTCACAGGATGTTTTAAGGAAACAGAATGGTATCAATGGACTAATTTTCTCTCTAAATAGTGAATACAGTATCTCATTTAATTTCTTTCCAACAGCTCTGTTCCTTGTTATCTGTGTACAACCACAGTTTGGTGCTCTGCAAATAACAGAGACGGGAGAAACAAAAGGAAAGATAAATTGAAAGGTGAGGAAAATTCCACAAACAGGGGGTAACATGGAGTCTCACAGCATTATTTAAGACCTGCTGCTGGAGAAGGCCACCTGCACACTCACCATCTGTGTGGACTCTCATTGCTGAGGCAGTGATGTCAGTTGTGATCGTGAAGTAAGGAATCCACAGATCCTGTGACAGAGAAGGTCCCAATTTTACTAAATATGTAACTTTGCACTTAAACTAAAACCTGTGCCTAACACAAACCAAAGCAACAACCTCTGCGTGTCTACAGCTCTGTTAAAAAAAAACACTTGCATGGATGGAGGAAAAAGCTGTCAGCCCTGTGTTTCAGTTCATAAATTTGTTTCTTATGCAAACACTTCATGCAGAACCAAGGCAGACAAAAATCCTTATTTCCTTTTTTCAACAGCAAAAAATACTTGTTCCAGAAGACTGTCCAGCATACAGAGCAGCACAGAAACTTCATCACTGAAATCAGGAGTTCACCTTCTGATACCTGTTTTCCTTTCAGATGAAGTGGGAGGGTCTGATAACTCTCATCTAAAGAGATCCCTAGGCTGCTTATTGCTGGAGGACAACATCAAGGGAAGACTCACTTTTTATGTATTTGGTGCTCATCTAGGTCTCTAAATACCTGCTGCTTTTGGCCTCCCCTGGATACATGGCACTAAGCTAGAAAGACCTTTGATCCCACCCAATATGGCCATTCTTGCATTTCACCCAACTGTCTCCACTCAGGGTGGTGTTCATCCACTACAAAGAGCAAGTCTTCCATAATTGTATTCACTGTGGACGGGCATGCTATCACTCAGTCCCCTGTAACCCGAACCTAAGACTGTAGCAGGCAGCATCTTCCTTGCCTCAGTTCCTGAGATACCAAGACAGAGAGAGAGAAGAATGAGTCATGGTCTCTTGACTAAATGACATTCAATTTGTATCTTGT